AGGTAATGTGACAATTGGTCATGTAGGTCAAATTAATTTTGAGGCCCTAATCTGTTGGCGATCGTCTATGAAATGAAGTTTATTTGCATGGAATAGGTTATACAACATGATAATTTATTAGATTACAGTTCTTCTATTCTGCCAATATACGAAAGTACGCAAGATCATTGTTCAAAATATTAATTTTGACTAATTTTTTTGTTGGCTTTTCGTAATTAACATTTCTTTCCGAACATTTTTGTCTTTAATACGGGGGAACATATAAAAACGAAACTTTTTTAAAGGAAAAAAGTAACGTCCTGAAAAGTGGAATTAGGTACATCTATTCGGAATTGGTTAACGGAAAGCGGGAGAAATAATCGGACCGGATTCGTCTCCTAATTGGTCACCCTTAGAAGTGGAATATTTTCTTCAAATCTGAGTTTGAACGGGACCACTACCTTTCCAACAAAAAAGAATCATCGAATCCGGTTCGCAAATGTCGGAGTAGTACAGTCGAATTGATAACCTCCTCCTTTTTTAAAGTCGGTTAAAAAGGAAAGACGACCTCCGTGGTCGAGCAGCTTGCACACAGGTTCTTATGGTGTCGGTAACTCTGAGGTCCCGGGTTCGATCCCCTGCCGGGTCAAAGTCGAAAGGTTTTTCTGTATCTCGGGTGTTGTGATACCGTCGTTGTTTCCAATTTCCAAGTTTCCAAAAACAAGTGCTTTAGTTACTTTGGGATCAGAGCAACGTCCATGTGATGTTGTCTAGTAAAATAATAAATAAACTTGAAAACAGGGTTAAGAAGAAAGAGAGAGAAAACTACTATTCAGCTGTCGTTTGTTCAAATATTTTTTTTTATTCCACCTTGTCGTTTAGGTAGTTATATATTTTCATGTACGAGAAAAAACTTTTTAATACAGAGTTATTTTAGGCACTTACAAGTCTATTTGGGTTTATTGCGCGCGTATTTACGTCTTGTAGTGTAATATACAAAGTTACAGACAACACAACAACGACATTGTAGTCGAGTAGTCACATATTTCTAGCAAAAAATTAATAAGGGCAACGCTACGTCTTCCTTGTCACAAGATTGAAATTCAACTCTACTACTATACAATAACGGACAAATGTGTAAAAGCCAGCGCGTTGTTGACTATACTTCTTTTATTATTTATAAAATACTAACCACTTTGTAGGATTATATTACTAACATTGTAAAGAACTTTTTCCATGACTTAATAATAATAATCCATTTATTTGAGACACATTCATCCATAATATTTGTTGGTAAAGAAAAATACTTAAGCTAGTGTTAGGTTTATAATAATAAAATAAAACAAAATTATAATATCTATTAAGATGGGAACTTATCGTACCCAGCGTAAGGACAACTGGCTACAGCATTGGGGACTCCGATCGTTCCACCAATGTGCTCAGGATGCTGTTTGTACGGAGACGCATCTGATGGAGTAGCGATGCACAACGCTTTCGTATGATAGCGTAGAAATCGTCTACTTGTTTAATAAATCATAATCGTCGTGCTTAATAAAGCATAATAAAAATAAACTTAAGTCAATATTTAAAACAAACTTTTAACTGTTATGGACAGGCCACAGGCATAGGCGTGTAACTTACCACCAGGGTCGTTCGTCCCGTCACTTGAAATTATAAAAAAAAACAAAAACAAAGTTTTTGTTGTACTGTCTGACACTTTTTAACCGACTTCAAAAAAAAGGACGAGGTTCTCAATTCCATTTTTTTTGTATTGCCGTTTGTGAACCGATTTTGATGATTCTTTTTTTTGTCGGAAAGAGGTTACCTTAGTAGTGGTCACATTTAAATTTAAAGAAAATATTCCACCTTTAAGGGTGGCAAACTGGGGAATGAATGCGGTTTCGCGCACTTTCCGGTAACCGATTTCGATAAAACTTGGTAAATAGATGTAATTCCACGAGTTTTTGAGGTCGGTTTTTTAGTACTCTGTACTGATATTATGAGACCTGTATTTGGTAATAAGTTCAAACAAGCAAATGTCGTCCCAGACGATCCCCTCCTACTACGCTAGCGTTTTCTTTTGTTACCGCACAGAGTTAACACCGTTCATTTTAAAATTATATGCTTGTGCTTATAATTGTTTACTATTTGTTGTTATTATTTTACAAACAACCCTGTTTATTCAAAATCTGACTCAGAATAGTACGTTTTGTAAATTTATTTAAAGAAAATCGAACCTAGCACGCAATACCACCAAGGTTGTCACTTGTAAACTTCGCTAAATCAAATACCCTTGGACCAAACAACATTGAGAGTACATTTGCATGTATCTTTGTCACTCGAACGGTGTGAGACAGAGGTAGTCACAATGTATGCGTCATCGCCAGAGGATCCTGGAATGCGTTTAATTAGGAAATGAGGGAAATTAGTTATTTTTGCTACGTCATGTTTCGACCACGTTACGTAATCATGTAATGTTCATTACAATAAATAATAAAGGCACATTACAATGCTGGGGCAGTTTGGGTAAAAAAAGAACAATAGCAAAATCATATCGAGTCCTTAGGTTTTCGCGATTGTTACACATAGGAAATGAAACTATTTTTCCGGATTTAAATCGCGTATATTTGTTTTTTCAAACAAACCGACGTTTCAACCGTGACCATGGGTTTGTTTGAAAAAACAAATATACGCGATTTAAATCCGGAAAAATAGTTTCATTTCCTAAGCAAAATCATAATTAAAAGAAGTCGATAGCGTCTTCAAATGTCTTAATTACAAGTTTGAATAAAATTAATTCATTAGGTTTTTCGAATTATAATATCTAAGTCTGGTAAAATAAAATCATATTCAAAAGAAACTCTAACGACTAATTAGTATTTAACCGGACTGATATCTACACCTATCAGTTTCTTAACGTTGTGCGACATCTAGCCTTCAAAAAAGGAATTTCAGTACCTACGTATAGACCTGGTTCACATTTATTTCACGTGATATCAAATGTACTGATTCGATTGATTTGTAATAAAGTAAGAAAAGATTTAAAGAAAATGGTAAAAGTGATAAAAAAGTTCCCAAAATCAGGGATAGATGGCACGTTTCACAAAAAAATAATTTGAGTTTGATTTACCAGTGCAATAATAAAAAGATTTTGTTTTTTTGAGTTTGTTGAAATAAAGATTTTGTTAATAATTGACTCAGTTTTTTTGTTGTGGCTTAACTTCATGCCTTTTGAGTAGGTACCACATACAAAATAATTTCCTCGAACTTTCGTCACGTCACAAACCCACGGTACCATTCAGCTTCTATTAACTCTATTTAAGGTTTCTGTAGTTTATTTTGATATAATAATACACCGAATATATTTTACTCAATTACGTAACACATAACATAACCTCCAAAATTTCAAACTGGAATATCTTTGTTTCCTGACTTTTCAGAATAGTAAACCCAAAACGAATATGGCAGTTTGCCATTGACCTTTACCCTTTTTCTGGGACTGTCGGGTAGGAAATGAGATAGTATTTTATGCAATCGTTGCATAATGGGGTTCTTAAAGTTTAGTAGGTACCGTGTCGAGAATTAAATACTTAAGTATAAAATTTTAAGACCCATGTAATGATAAAAATTGGTTCTCACTACTTAAAAGTATATTGGGAGAGACAAACGCCTTGAATTGGAGAATAGCAAAATCAACCTTTAAAAATAATTGCTCCTTATAATAAAATTTAGGCACTATTTATAAAAATGAATCTTCATGCTGTTCAGCCACTCTTAGAGGTGGATGATTTTCTTCAAAATTAAATGGGACCGCTATGGAGGTACCCTCTTTCCAACAAAAAAGAATCATGAAAATCGGTTCACAAATACCGGAATTATTCCGTAACATACATACAAAAAAAACCAGTCGAATTGAGAACCTCCTCTGTTTTTAGTCGGTTAAAAATACGACGTTCTTTTTTTTGAAACTCAAATATAATTTTTATATTTTTTCGGTCCAGTAGCGAGTATAACATAGACAATAGAATTTTGGTTCAGAACAAGAAAGAGCGCCTTTGTAATGGCTTATGAAATTACAATTGACAATATGAAATAAATAGCAGTCAGTAGCAGTAGAGCTCCTTGTGAAAGAGTCCAGGGAAATACTGCCAAGGAAATGCTACCATACCTATTTCTGCCACCAAGCAGTAATGTGAGCATTACTGCGTTCCGGTTTTGAAGGGTAAGGATGCTGTTAAAATTACAGGCGCATGGGACTTGTCAACTTATGTCTCAGGGTCACGGGCGCAGTGGCAGTGCCCCTCAGATTTTTGCGATTTATAAAGCTCTGAGTGGCACTGCAACTGTTATAGATAGGCGTGTCGCATACCGCCAGGCGCACGACAAGTTCATCCCATCACTTATAACAAGGAAATATGTTTGCGTCGTGTAATGCTGTAATAATATGCCAAACAACGAAACTAACTGGTCCTGGTAATTCTTGTGTATTATGAGCACCAGAGCAATGAATTTAAATCCGGACACTGAACACCTAGACCAGAACAAATACAAAAAAGTTCGTATCTCGAATTGTGCTAACCATTAAGCTGCAGAAGTCGTCAAGTAAACAACATTAAATCACAAATAACCACAATAACTCGTTATCTTTAATTTTTAATAACGTTACCGTTGCTTTAATAACAAATTAACAACTTAACTGTGTGATAGAGACAAGTAAGAAACTTCAACACTTTGTAATGTTGGCGTTTCTGTAACACATATGCAACGCAATTAAATGGTAAATGAAAATTAAACTTTGACTTCTCAGACAGTGTGAGAGTGACTTAATTTTGGCCGAATGAATTTCCTGAAAAACCAAAATGTAATTTTTATTTTGTGACGCATCCCAATATTGTTTTTGCTACTGACGAATAAATTAACGTTCTATATATTTTCACATAAAGTCGAATTTGGTAATTTTCAGCGCTTACCAAATTCTCGCAAGAATTGGCGTATGTTTCTAAGTTCTACGTCTTTTGCAGCCCTCAAGCAAGAGCGTCCACCTATCCGCGTTGGAGCCGCTTCGCACCCAGCATTGCGCGAGCGCGGCCGAGCCATCCCTGCAGCGGGCCCACCTCCTCGGACCCCCACTCCGCTGCCTCCGCACCACAGGGTACCGTACCAGAACCCTCTTAGCGGGTACTTTGAAATCGATATCAAGGTCAGTCCAGAGTGAGCAGTTAGAGGTGTGAGGCTTCGCCTAAGGTACGTTTGTGGGAGTTCCCAATGTTTAAAAGAAGTCTATTATGACGATCTGGTTAAAAAATAACTGAAAAAGACATTGATCAGAAGACACACTTATTGTAAAGAAAACATCTAAGACCGTTGTCTGACTTGTTTTAAAATCTTATCGAGTGCCCATATTTCAATGTGCGCTTCCAGATTGGCGCGGTATACCGTAAACCGAATCGATCCCTTCCCGCTCCTGTCCATACCGCGCCAATCAGGAAGCGAACTTTGAAATATAGGCGCTCGGTAAGCTTACTGCGTATACCGAGCGTACCTATACCCACAAATCGGAAACGGCCTAAATCGTCTATATTTGCTTGTTCAAACAAATATAGACGATTTAGGCCTCCTCCCTTGGTCACGGCTGACTGTAGCATATTGCAAATATATCTCTGGCTGAGTGAAGAAATTTTTATAAGTTCTTATAAGTGGCGCTGACGGCAAAATAAAGCCGTTTAAATCTTTATACAAAATCCGCCTCCCATGAAAGCATGTTTACTGAAACTCAACTTCGTGTAAACTATTCCTAGTTGTAAGCTGGTGGCAACCGTTAGTTGCGCAATGCGCTACGGTAAGTGAGCGTGCTTACAGCTCCAGTACCCATCTGAAAATATGGAGGGTACTGTACGTTCACCCGGGACAGCTCACTAATGCGCTAGCCTTTTGAAAACCGATTGAAGTCTGACTGAGAAGGTCCGTATCCGAGTTTGCTCGCACAAGTTTACATATATTGACTTGCCCGTATAACCAAGAGGTCAATAGGCAGGATCACTATAAACAAAACTTATGTAGAAAGATATGGGACTGTTCCTAGCTGTAATATGTATTTTGTGGTGTTAAGTTAAATACGTTAAAGCAACAGACGCTGGTTCCAGTCAATCAAGTCGAGGGAATTATTCGTTGTATTTGCTTTAAGTACAACAAAACGCACTTGACAAATGAGCAAGGTGTTTAGAGAAACAGTTAGGTTGTTATTAGTGACTATTGCATGCGAAAATATTGGGAACTTCCTTCTAACCATTATCTCCAGCTTAGCAATAACGATCAGGCATTAACATCTAACGTAAGTATAATTGAATTATTATCAGTTAGACAGTAATAAATGCTGATGTTTAGAGAGTTATCACACTTATTAACGCTGAATCGTGCTTGAACCGGTTAGAAAAAGCCTTATGGATAATGACGCATGTAACACCCGTTACTTTGACTGAACGTTGCAATTAGACGTTCTGGCGTCTAATTGAGTAATGCGAAAGACAGTCTTTCGACAAATAGATTCTGTCTTTAATATAAAAACTTTAAGGGCACCATTTCTCTTTATAATCTGACAATTTTTACAATTTTGTCTGTTAATTCACTATTTGTACAAATATTTATCAAGTGTTGTCATTTAACCATTGTTTCTACCGATTATTCGTCAAATGAAGACAGTTTACTTTTATAAATATTTTCCTCTCCCTCAGTTGTTACTTCAAATTTATTTTAAAGAAGTTTATGAAAGGTGCTGCAAGAACCGTAATGGGTGTTATGGTTTTTTGGATAAGAGCGAAAATTTCTACACAACGTCTTTTTTCGCTTTTTAGTAATTGGATGTAAAGTTTTTTCGAACCAGTTAATGCGATTCTGTTTCGGTAAGTATGTTGGCTTTGGGTCCTTTAATTAGCTGGAATAAAGGACATAACGTTTTGGCATTAAATATGAAAGCTCTTTATAAAGTTTAATGTGCAAGCCTCATTGATTAACTGCTTTGCCTCGAAAAACATTATTTATAATGAAAATTATAAAGTTTTTTATAAAAAAAACCTCAAAAGTTTCTGGAGAAAATCTGTGGAGAATCAATAAACCGAAATCATTGCCTAATTTGCGACTCAAATTCTTCAAATTTCAATGGGATCACTGCTGAGGCACCCCCTTTCCAACAAAAAAGAATCATCGATATCGGTTCACAAATGTCGGATTTGATTTGAATTACGTAACATTCATGCAAAAAAATACATTCGAATTGACAACCTCCTCCTTTTTTAAGTCGATTAAAAATTCGAGGCAGAGCCGTTGATCCTGTACCATCAAGTTGAGGTTGTTGTCTTTTTGCCACTTCAACGATTTTACTACAACTAAACATACTCACAAGTGCAATAATGTTGTTTTATTCACTTCAAAGCTGCATGAGAGCTGTGTAAACGCAACGCCTACGTGTTCGTAAATAATCATGTGGTTTTTCAATGTGTTATTTCTGGCGAGAAAGTTTTGTCAAGGCTAAACATATCTGTTTACTTCCTTGCCGTGGATGTTAATAATTCTTGACATAAATGCGACTCTAGATGAATTTTAGCAATTCAGACGTCTGACGACGATCCGTTTTCGTTGGACAAACGGCCTTAAACCATTAACAAAATACTACTGGTCGTAGACCATGATGTGAAATACCTACACGTACAACGTGTGGGTAAACACGTGATTCTGCGCAAGCGTCGGCACGGCAAACATATTCCCTGCGCATCGGTTTACAAAACGCGCTGGCCTACTTGAACCATTGCACTAGTGAGATTTTGTACATGGTCCAACACATGAGCGGCTTACCAGTTTTATACACCGTTTGAGTTTGAATGCTGGGATAATTTTGTCCAGTACATAGTATGTGTGATGGTAGAATAACAACACAAAACAACGCAAAATTAAATAGCAGCTTCGTGATAGTTCGATCTTGACGTAAATAACTCGACTACGTTGTGGATATCCTTGAAAAGACCAGATTAAAAGTGCCCACAACCGAGAAGCTTGTATGCAAACAGAGTGCCCGAAAAAAGTATGTTCGTAGTAGGATCCTAGCAGGTGGACGGTGAATCTGAAGACCCTAAATGCCCCCAAATACAGACCATTCCTCGTTTCGATGGCTACGTTGGCTTTTAAGTTAATCGTCAACGACATAAACATTCACTATCAATTCGTCATTTCGATCAGTCTAAAACGACTGACGGTGAATACAAATCGTCCCTTATTACGTATATTATTGGGCGTCTATCTGCCGAGACTGATGGCGTGATGAGACATGGTAGTTAGGCCATATTGTCGCTCAACATCAGTTGAGATTAAGATTATACTGGTGTCTATTTTACATATCGTTACACCGTTGATGTCATAAAAAGCGCTTGAGAGATTGGTCCTGGACCTGGAAGTGGGCAGCAATGTCTCTTGTGTAGATCGCAGCTAACTTGCTTGCCATGACGGCAAGATGCAAGAACTAAGATGGTGCAATAAAGAACACCCATGTTTAGCACTGATAAGGTAATTGTCAAAAATACTGTGTGATCATTAACATCGGTCTTTTGCCTTGCAGAACAGTTGTTTGTCCATTTTTCCAGGTCCGCTTCAGAAATAGACTCGTTGATCAAAGAAGTTCCACCATTATGTTCTTCCACATTTTTATACGCGTATGCATCCGATATATGGCAGACTAGGGAACCAAGCGTGAAGACAATGTAAAGTACAATGGCCTTCGAGAAATGTACCAATGGCTTTAAAAAATATTAGACGTGCACATCTTCCGTGACTTATACGCTAAAAAGACAAATTTACGTAGCAAAATGATGTCATGCCATTATTTCGGTAGTGATCTTGTGCTAGTTCAGGCGCATTTAGGACACATTAGGCGTATTATCTGGTCTGTCGCGTATGTTTTACAATTTGCCATCGTTTTATGTAGCCTTGACTGATAACAGGTGCTTTCGTACTATGTAGATGGACCATAATTCCTTTACTTATGCTTTGTGTTAGTTCTGAAGAACTTTTATAGAATTTTGCATACCGGCAGTTGTTCACAGAATTCATTTCACGTCTTTACCTTTGCATTAGATATCGTCAAATAAATTCTACTCTTTTGACACTGCTTCTCCATTAGGTAACCAAGGCCTATTGTAAAAATACGTATTTATACCAAAAACTCGTGCGATTTCTCTCTCTACATATAAATCTTATATATTTTTCGCCCTATAAATTATCCAGTCAAAATTAACGTATGGCTGTTAATATAATACACCTCAAATTGGCACTATGTCACGCTTACTTCACGCAGGTGATTCTGGCCATGTTCCAACACTAGTTTGCAATTATACAGGTGTAGTTCAATAAAGAATCATAAATCTAACTAACCGGTGCAATATCTAAATCTTCTTTAGATCCAAGGCTTAAGATCTCAATGAAATTATGCAGGAATTTGTGATGAAGATTATCTGTTTTATCGCAAATGTATTAGTGTTAAGGCATATTTTACTATAAATTTCTTGTGCTGTACCGGGTTGTTAAGACGATGATTATGTTGGCGGGCTTCTGCATACCATTAAAGTGGCCTTAAATACTAATTCGGATTCAAACTTTATTTCATAGGCGAGCAAATTATACTTGAAATAGTCAAATTGATCTAACATGACATTATCTCTAAGTATAAGACTAACGACTTTATGTGGAATTGTGATAAATTCATATTCACGATATCTTAATTTAATAGGGAAGCAAATTACACTTGAATTGGTTAAAATCTATGTGACGTCAGTTATACCTGAAAAAAATAAGTAAGATCCCACATATTTCCACGGGTTGCTGTTTGTAAATAGAATATTTGTTCCCTTTTTGTTTACGCAAGCATCACGCTTACTCATAACAGTTGCAGTAGTGCCACTTAGAGATTTAAATCTCATAATCTGAGGGGCAAGGCATTGCCTTGCCTTGTAATAAACAAAGGTTAAAATTTCAGACAAAAGTGTCCGAAATTTTTGGTTCATGGTAGCTTTAAACCTCGTAAATAACAAATTTTGATTATCAACATGGGTCTTACATCCTCTCCATGGGTCTTACACGCTTGTAAACCCGGGGTAAGCAGAGACCTCCGCCTGCTACGCTCCTGACAAACCTTCGCCTGATCCACTTCCATCACTCTCTTCATACAT